AAAACCGGCCGAGTATGAGTTGGACTCGCGCACGTTCCGTTTCACACCGAACACGAGTTAAAAAATCTCGTTTGTTGTATGAAAACATTTTTTTTTATTCTGGTTTCAAGAAAATTTCAATTGTTTACTTTTACGTTTCATGAGATATAGCCTGGTGACAGACAGACTGTCTGCAATTTACCCCCTACCGTTTGATATTGTCAATTAAGTTTTATAGCAGATGTTTACAGTACAATCATCTATCCAGCAAATTGCATAAAGTATTTTATTTTTCTTTGATAGGAATATATCTGTAGTTTTAACTAGTGTAGAACAATACTTAACATGGTATATACCTATAGTAAACCTTTTTGGATTTATTATTTCACCAATTACTTTTGTCACGTGCACAAAAAAAAACTACTAAAATGTAAAGAGCTGCTCATCGCATACTTTTATATCGAGTATCAGAAATAGTTAGTTGTACAAGGTGGCTATTAATCATGTAGTATTGTAGTAGTAGTTGCCTAATTGTCGAAATTTGTTAATTATCATGAAACTTAAAACAAATATTTTATTATGGTTTTGTCCAATATCCCGTATTGAAAGATGCTTATGGCTCAATTCTGCAAATTTTTAAGTAATAATCGCATCTCGATAGAAGCTAAAGATATTACACTCTAATATCTAACCCAAAGTCCAATATTAATAGTGAAACGTCTTCCTCACAAATCAATTGTGACACGTATATTTATTATTTTTTGATCTAGTAACAAGGACTATGCCATAAAGGGTTCTTATTAAAGTGCAATTGACTTTCCATTAGTTACGTTAGCACGTTGTCCATTTTGTGAACGTTTTCTACCCCAAAAATCCAAGAGAAAAGTAAATATCACAAAAAAAGTCCAGTACTTTACATACATATTAATGTGGGGCAAGAGCGGAGTTTAAATATATCTGGAATAAAGAAAACGATAAAAGAAATGACAGACAGATTGGTAAATTATTAAGGATTCAGACATCTCTGTATAAAGGTGAATATTAAAAAAAAAGAATACATACGTCACTGTACACAATATTTAATAATCTAAGTTTTTGTGAATGTCATTACTCCTATTAGAGCTGGTGAGATGTTATTATCTATCAAAAGACGTCCTGAACGATTGGTGGGAAAAAAAAATGTTGGACGATTCAAAAGTAGTTTTAAGAAGTCTAATTCAAAAAAGATTTTTTTAACTTTGACTGAAATATGATGACAATAGTTTAAGATGTTGGAAAAAAATATTTTAGTAGACTTATTAAAGAATAGACAACACAGAAAAAAATATAATAACTAAAAAGGAAACCAAAAAGAGTATAGTAAAATTTATCCTAACCTATCATTTTAAAGAAATAAGTCTTTATTTTTCCACTGAATTTTATTATACCATTGGTAAGTAACAAATTATTGCTTAAATGATATCATTCGAATTTATCAATAGGAACAACATTACAAGCAATTAGCCGTCACTGCTTCCGACTACCAGATAACATCACCAGTTGCAAGAAATATTGGCGACCTGAATACCTTAACTCTTAATAAAAGAATAACAAATTTGAAACTTGAATCAAAAACCATTTATTCAATAAAATATGATAAAATTCAAATGTATATTGTTTAGAGTTCCATATCCAAAGCGTAAAAACGGAAACTTTATATATTTCAATTATTTGTTTCACTTTGCATACTTTTTTATTTGATAAACTTTTATTTTGAGTGCCTTACTCTTGGTATTTTTATACATACCATCCAACATTTTGTATTACTAACCTCGTCATAGTTCATAAAACGAGACAAAATTTCAGCTTCCACCAGATACAGATCTTCTCTGGATAAATATGCTACCAAGATAATGATACAATTATAAAACTTTCTTATATTTGTGAAAAGTATTGATTATTGTATTGTTTGAGTACTAATACCAAGTATACAAAATTTGTTGGACACGTCGTCTTGGCGGCTACTTCCTTGTCCTTATATTGTTATAAATACGCTTATATGACTTTATCAATTTTCATCAACATCCGTGTTCGACCTTTTGCTTTTATCTCATTGCATAACATCTACATTACACACAATAATAATAACACTGCATCATACCAAATCCAATTTAAATGTTACGCCATAATCATTACTTTAATCCGAATCATATCGACCGTAGCAAACCGACAATTCCCATACAATATCCCATAGAGTGCGCTATTAAAATTCTTTTTATGAATTACAAATCTTTCGTAACAAATGTAACTAACTATCCCATGATTACGTAACATACGGAAGGAGAGAAAGTGGTGCTGATGCACTATCTCTCGATAAAGTGATTTATCACTGCGCTTGTCATATGATATAGATTTATATCGTGATCGCTAACGTTATAATCATGCGCATAATAACGTAAAATGATTGGTGGTTAAGTTCAATGTTACTATGATAGAGAGAACGAAAAGTTATTGAACGTCATGAGAGCAGAGTATGACTTCCGCGAGAAGCGAAGCACTCTCCAAGAAAAGGAGGAGGTTATAAATTTTCGACGGCGATTTAAGTTTTTAAATATGTTCCACGGAGATTTTCGCCAATTTTTTACCGAATTTAAGAATTCTTTTTTTTTCGAAAGCTTAATGGACCGAGGTGGTCCCACTTAAAGTTTATCAAAATCGAATCAGTAGTTTTCCTTTTATAACAAAATAAAATACGCCTTTTCCCAGATATAACCTAAATATTTAGATGATTCGTTTATTTCAGGAAAACAACAAAAGATTGCGTATTTTCAAATCGTTCAAAATTCGAAAGGATAATTTTGTATGTTCAAAGAGTATATATTTTTTTATGAAAGTAGGTATGTTCATCGATTTCTTTTGAATTATGAACCAATTTCTATCAAACTAGCTTTTTCTCCGCGACTTCGCGTGCATAAATTATCCCCCGCGTATTATAAAGCTTCTCGTAGGTGAAAAAGTAGTGTATAGAATTATTGGAAAAAATATGTCGAGCAAATAACTATTTGGAATATTTTAATTTATATAGATATTATTTTTAGGGTTACCTTTCTACCGGTGCATCGTACCACAACGTTTATTTTGTCCTAGGTTCCGCATCCAAACTTTTTGTGTAATATGAAGTTCAAAGAGAGAGCGGAAAAAAATGCGTGTTTCTCTCTAATTCTATGTAAAGTATACTCACAAGCTCCAAAAAACATAAAACGCCGAAAATTTTAACTTTCCACTGCAAATAAGAAATCAAATATTCAATTACAAATTCAATTAAATACACCAGAAAATTGTAGGTAAGAACTTCAAATCATCTTACTCACGCGAACTATAATAAATCATTATTTAATAAAGTACATCAACATTGCATTCAAACGTATAATTACAAATCATCCATCATATTATACAAACAATATGTCAACATAATCACAAAAACTTACACACGGTAATGTTAATTCACACAACTTAAATTTCCTATTTGGTCAGGAAATGTCAGCGAAGTTATATAACGTTATGCTATTTGCAAATCATTTGTATCAACTTGGCACACTGCTAATGTTGAATATTAATGGTTTGTAACGTTTGCATAGTGTAACCACTAACAACACGAACTTGAGCATTGAGATATTATTTTAATGCTTGTTACGTTATCAAGTAAAAGTTTAGAAAAAATGCTAAATAAAAACATGAACCTACGATAAACTGTAAACGCATGAATAATTTTTCGCATTTCGCATTTGAGGCTACTTGTATCTGATAACTGACAAATATGCCATATGCGCACTCAAAAGTCTCTACAAGAGCTCTCATTTTTCTTATTTTCTTATTATATTTCTTACGCGTAGCATCATTTGATTGTAGTATTCTTAAAATAAATAAATTAAAATTTCCCTGTTATCCTTAAAAGAAACCTTAGATTACATCAATTGATATTTTCAAATGATTGATTATACATAAATAAACAATGGAAATACGCATTGAAGTTGAAACATCTCAAATAGTGAGAAACTGACAGACCAGCCTGTCTACATAAAACCGATCCGTCAGACGTTTTTGTATTAATCGTAACCGTGTAATAGGCAAAAGTAAAGCGAAATTAATTCTAAGCACATTTTTTGAAGTGGTAGCCTTTTTAATATTCGCATATAAGTTTATGTCATCTGTGTAAAGTTAAATTCGTTGAACCCCAGATCAACTTGGTAATCGTCCTAATAAATTTAAAAATCAGTCTCACTCCACAGTTTAAGTGTCAGTACGATACTGATCTACAAAGAAAGTATTACTCCACAACACAGTTTACATAATGTAAATTATGCGTGGGCGCACATTAACACGAATCAATATTGACATACTCATTAAGGTGATGCTCTAGCTAGGTGAAACTGGTGTACTTAATAAAGACATCGTCACGTTTTACGTAAGAGAAATTTCTTACTGTGTTTAATTTTTAACCATCGTTGTTACTTGTGATATAATTAAAAGGAAATTGATCAAAAGAAGTTGAAAAAAACCACAAAAGCAAATGAAAAGTATAAACAACTTAACCTAAAAGAATTATTGAAATCGATGCAAAAGTACTTAACGATTGTTAAGTAATGTCCTTTGATAATGTCTGTGGTTGTCAGTTTGTATATATTTATGTTCGCTAGATGGCAATGACGTTTGTGTGCCCTATATATGTGATAGTTTACGTATATTTCTACATCGCATATGTAAGTTCTTTCACCAAATACTTATATACTTCAACGTTTATTTGAATAAATAACCTTTGCCATAGAACCTTGTGTTTTATTACATTTTTGACTTTTTGGAATTTTTACAACGATAATGGTGGATTTAAATGTTTACACGTGTATTGTAGAAGCCTCATTCCAATTTTTTTAAAGTTTTTACTATAGCAATATAGAATGGATATACTCGTAACTGGAAGGAAGGAAGAGGAAGAAGAAAAAATTATTATGACAGCTAAATAGTTTTATATAACGAGTCTAATTATGTTTCAGAATGTGGGGTACCACTTAGAAGACATACGCGGCAACCACGCGAACGTTCTGCAGGACAGCTGCGAATCATCAGAGGCAGAGAATCTAAGAGAGGAGCGTGGCCTTGGCAGGTACATTCTTTACACAGCCAACGAGCGCTGCTCAGATCCACAAAGTGAAGCGCTTTGTGTGACTAATTCACAGAACTTCTAATTTTCACAAAAAAAAACTGCTGACCTCCATGAAAAGAGATTTTTCGTGTTTTCCAAATTATACAAATGGTAATATTATTTTTGTACCATTCCATTCATAAAAACAAACTGAAATATTAAATAACACTTATATCATTCAATCATTGTAGTTAGTTTTTTAGGAATAACATTAGATTCTAAACTACAGTGGGGCCCACATATTGATAGATTGTCGAGTAGACTTAGCTCTGCAGCATATGCCGTAATGAAGATACGTAGGTTAACTGACATAGATACTGCCAGATTAGTATACTTCAGTTACTTTCATAGTGTTATGTCGTACGGTATCCTATTGTGGGGAAATGCTGCCGACATACAAACAATTTTTGTGCTTCAGAAAAGAGCAATTCGATCAATTTATAATCTTAGGATTAAGGACTCTTTAAGGGAGAAATTTAAGGAAATAGACATTATGACTGTTGCTTCTCAATGCATATACGAGAACTTAATGTACGTTCGTAAAAATATTAGTTTGTTTTCTATAAAAAGTGATGTACACAATTTTAATACAAGAAATAAAAATAAATTAACGGTGCCTGTCACTAGACTGCAAAAAGTTAATAACTCATTCAAGGGTCTTTGTGTGCGCTTCTACAATAAGGTCCCAAGCAAAATACAACAATTAGATATCATGCAGTTTAAATCTACTATTAAAAAAATACTTATTAAAAAAGCTTATTATAAGGTATCCGATTATATAACAGATAAGAACGCTTGGACTTGAGATGATCCAGCAACTGGATAGGTGATTACTTCTAAACTCATTATCTTGTTTCCATTATTATTGAATGATTATGTTATTATTATAAGACCATGTTTTTTTTTCTATCTCTGTTTATAATGTATTGATCTGGTGATGACATGGTTTTTGTAAATGTCATTACTCTTATTAGAGCTGGTGAGTTTCTTGCTCGTTCTTCTTATCAGCCAAAAGACGTCCTGAACGAGTGGTAGGGAAAAAATGTTGGACGATTCAAAAGTACTTTTAAGAAGTCTAAAAAGTACTTTTAAGTGAATAAAGATTATTTTGACTTTGACTTAGTTGAATAAATCATTGTAGTAATTTGTAATTTAATATGGATCACTGGGTCTGAAATAAAGATTTATTATTATTATTATTTTCCATAACCTGTGCAGTCAAAATGATGTACAGTGTCAGCTAATGAGAATTTACCTACACAATTTGCGAAAGGTGACTGATTCGCAACCTGTCGCAGAAACCTGAGAGTAGGCTTAGAAAATAAATATGTCAAACTATTTTCGTTCGTTGAATATTCGGAACGAACGTAATTGTAGTAACGTGCGAAATTTCGAACGATATTTCGTTTTTTGGTGAATTAGAGTAGGCTTCCTGAAACTATCGAATTTTCGTATTATTTTTCTTTCAGCATTTTCAATAATATCATCTAATGGTTTTCCAGGTGTCTTTACAACTGCTACACCCCAACTACGGGCTGATAGGTCACTGGTGCGGAGGAGTGCTAGTCCACCCTCTATGGTTGCTCACCACTGCGCACTGCATACATAAGTATTCAATACTTTAATATAGAAATTCTTATGAACTGCTAATCATGTTGTGTAATAGAGGTTCTATTAAAAGAATTGCATAATGAAAATGGGTCATCACTCAACAGCCTGTCATCTAGTTGTTTTTGATGACTGCAGAGGTCAGCGGGACTGTTATCTCGTGATATACATATATTAATGGATATCTTCAAATTTAAACTTACTTTCACTCAAATTTAATAAAATGAAAAATAATTGTATTTGTAAAAACTGATATTTTGTTATAACCATCGCTGTCATATTATTGAGTAAGACGAAAAAATTGCCTGGAATGTAAAGTTATTAGTTAACTCTAAATTAGGCGATCTATTAGTCATCTGTCCTGATATATTTTTCATTTGATTTCAGTGAGCTGTTCAATTTACCGATACCGGCGCTGTGGACAGCGGTGTTGGGTGAATGGGATAGAGCTGAGCAGCGCGGAGCTTACGTCCCCATAGAGAGGATAGTGCTACACCACCGATTCTTCAACTATCAACACGATATAGGTGACGTCTCTTTCTTAATTATATAAATTATTTTTGTACCTCAACTGTGCTACTAAAAAGGCACGTTATAACTTTATATACAATTTAAATTGAATCAAAATCGTTAAGGTTTGGAATTAAATGGAGAAATTTGCTATTATGCTATTGATATTACAACAACAGAAAAGTCAAGGAAAATAGAAATTATCTATTTTATAGCAACAATTTTATATTACGATCCAGCTAATCTGATGTGTTATTTTATTTAACTACCAAACAATATTCAGAGTTTAATGAAATAGTTTTTTTACATGATAATTTGAACTAATTATGAAATTATAATTTCATTTCAGCACTTATGAAAATGACTAAGCCAGCAGACGTAAGCGCAGGAAGCAAGATTCGCACCATTTGTCTGCCTCCATTTGCGCCTTCTGCCAGTTTCGATGAAACAAAGGTTTCTGGATTTTATTCCCGGCCGGTACACAACGAACCGCCTAAAAGAAAACCCACAAAGCCGCCCAAACCAAGTCCAGATACTGCAAACAAATACCTGGAGAAACTCAACAATTTAACGAATTCAGTGTTTTCTGGTTTTACAAGTAAAAAACACAAAAACTTAAGGTACAACGTAAGAGTAGCTAACGATTCAAATAAACAAGTGGACAAAAATATTGATGAAGAATTAAATAGAAGTGATAAAGAAAGAACGAAAAGTGATTTAGTGTATGACAGTGCAACTTTGGATAGTGTTGTAAAATTGATTCGGAATCAGTTATCTAGAGCGATGCGTGTGAATTTAAATGATAGAAGTGATAAAAAGTTGATGTTTGGTGAAGAGATAGATCCCTTTATCGAAAGTAACAATGGGATCGATTTCAAAGATGAGTGTTATGCGACAGGTTGGGGTAGAGAACAAACGAATGGAACACTGACAGACGTTCTGTTGGAAGCGGAAGTGCCAATACTGCCGCTGAGGATTTGTAGAGATAAGTATTCCCTCACTCTTCCACTGAACGAGGGACATTTGTGCGCTGGTAGCACAGATGGCAGCACAGGAGCTTGTGTAGTAAGTAAATATATTTAGAAAATATACATATTGATACTGTTATTTGGATTATTTATATTAAAATTGGGCTTGATCATTGAAAATCACAAAATAATGATAATAGTTTTTGCAACGAATGAAGGGTATTTTAGGAAACCGCCCTAAAAGTGAACCGTATCTAATTCGCACTTGTAATCATTCTTTATCTTTGTATAGTAATACAATATTTTGATATATTTCACCCGAAATGAAAGTCTTTATAAAATGACGTAACGGTAAAGTTTTTAACTTAGCTTGTTTGTGTGTATGGGGTAATCTTCGAAAATACTGATCTGATCATTAACATTTTTTCACCTACGGGAAGCTACATCATATGAGGGTGATTAGAGTATAATTAACGCGGGTGAAGTCGCAGGATAACAGTTACTTAGTTGCATCATAATCTGAGTAGGACGGTAATATTTACATAACCGAAGCACGAAAAACAAAGCAGTAATTAAAATAGAAAGTTGGCAAATGCAATTCAAAATCATATTAAAAACGCTATCAAAATTGACGTGCCCTCAAGGAACCGTGGAATTTTATCTTCCATCTGATACATCAGACGAGCGAAGGAATCAAATATGATCTGATAAAGAATCTTGACACGACTATTAGAAACGTGAGCTTTTTTTGCCGCACTGTTATTTTTACTTACATAAACTTTTGTGCCAGTAGCCAAGAGTTATATTTTCGTAATTATTTACAGACTTCAAAAAAACGAGGTTATCAATTTAACTGTATGTATGTCATTTCGTGAAGTTGGAGCGATGTTCATACATGCTAGTATATACGGTCTTTTGTTTAAATTTTATTTGCTACATTTAGTAAGTGTATATATGTTTGTATGTATTTCTCGCCATTTAGACATCGTCTTGCAATGGTACTCTCTATAGTTGGATTGCTTAAACTTCACCACAAGTTTTTTTCAAATTAGTTAAATATTTTTTATCATTAAATATTAATAACCTACACTTAATACTGTTCAATTTTTCGTAATTAATAAAGAACCTGGCGAACTTTGTTCCGCAACAGTCAAAGAATGAGAAGCTTGAAGATTTATTCTCACAGATTTATAATATTACTATATTAATAGACAAAGACAACATTAGGGGAACTGTCAGTTGTCTTCTTTTTATCGAACGTGAGCCGTCAGTTGTGTTTTATTATAAGAAATCACCATTATCATTGATATTTTGCTTCTCTTATTATTATTAATAATAATAATCCTCCCACTCCTCGAATCGACGAGGGGTCGGGAAGAGTAAATTATAAATACAGGAATAATAATAAAATACTTTATTGCACTCAATATGAAAGATACATTGTTTACAAAAGCTTATTATCTAAGAGATTGAGTAAACAAATGGCGGCCTTATTGCTAAACAGCAATTTCTTCCAGACAACCTATGGTGAAAATGGATAACAAATAAAGATACTATGGGGAGTGGGTGCAATATAGAGAATGATAAATAAATAAAAAACGTTAATATATTATAATACTCGTAAATAAAAAAATTGGTACATATGAAATGAATTAAACAGTTTTATAGTGAAAGAATAATATGAAAATAGTATTAAGATGTGGAAAGGAAATAATTTCTAACTTCATTGCTAAAGGATCCCAATGATCGAGCCCTCCTGATACCCTCTGGAAGAGAATTCCACAGACGCACAGCATGCACAGCAAAAGAATAGGAATAGAAATCTGTATAGTGACGAGCGATTTCGAGAGTTAGGTTCGAAGAGGAACGTAATGTACATTGTGATGAAGAGGAGCGAAAAGAGAATGATCGTTTAAGACATGGTGGAGATGATGGGAGGAAAAGTATAGAGTAACGAACCGTTAGAGTATGTAAGTCCTTGCGCCGGCGAACAGGAAGCCAATTTAACTTTGAACGGAAATACGACACGTGGTCATATTTTCGAAGATTGAAAATAAATCTAATGCAAAAATTCTGCAGACGCTCTAGTTTGGTGAGAAGTTCTTCTGAGAGATCTGTATACCACAGTAGAATTCGGAAGGATTTCATTCTTTCGGAAGTGGAATGACGTGCGCATCTTTTCAGGATGTGAGAAAAACTCCAGTCAAAAGTGAAGTATTTAGGATTTTGGTAATTATGGGGCACAGGATATCAATAATGGGTAGGATCATATTGCGACTGATAGAATCACTACCCATTGCACTCGAAGTAAAAGATAAAATAGCTCTCTTAACACCACAGTCTGCAAATTGATGCATGAAAAAGGGAGAGTTAAGAGTTGGTAAATTCGAAAGACGATGCAGAGTTTCTGCCTTACAGTATCCATCAATAGGAGACGAGGTGGTTAAATGACTATTAAGTTGATTGATATCAAGTTTAGGAGAATTACAGCTACGTGTTTAACCAACCCCAAATGACCGAAGAAACTTCCAAACTGTTCCCGGGTCAACTATTATTGATAGAATATCGTTGATTAATAATTATTATCCTATTCCCAACGAAGGCAAATCCAAAAACACAAATATCATAAAAATCAGTCCAACCCTTCTTGAGTTATAAATGACTTTCTTTAAATTTATAGGTATAAAGATAGATATAATCATTTGCGAATTATTAAAAAAATAAATAAGTCAAATTCTTTTCATTAATATCTTTTAAAGAGGTGTCCTTTTTGAGGCGTACAAGGTTTAATAAAGCTCTCGACTTTTACAAGTGCTTGTAACATCCTCGACTGAATAAATAATTTAGATTTTGATTTTGAATACTTTTACTGTTATATTTCTCATTGCTATTTTATTTTATATACTGCGTATTTAGAACAGACTTTTATGTTTTACTTCAGCAGCTCTACCGGATCTATTGGGTCGCTGATTAGTAAAGTTTGGCCAGACCAGTCCTGATTGATCTAATGACATTTTCTCTGCCAGCGCGATAGATCATTTAGAGTTTCATTTTGGCAAACGTCCATTAAAATTTTCAAATTCACATTCACGCCCAATTGCATAAACGTTAATTTAGGTTTATTGTCGACTTAAAGCTCTAATTAATATTCTAATTTTGAAAATTGGTACCGATAATATCGTTGTAATCTAAAGTTTATTTTAATGGACGATTATGCAGCGGGCAGTCAGAGTAGTCTTTAAACCATAACAGAGGTTTGATTAATTAAATGTAGTCAGCCAAAATGAAGCCCTGAACGATCTGTCTCAATGGCAGATTAATCAAGATTGGTCCGTAGAAACTTATAAAAATCAATGTTTCAGTTACGTTGTAGAGCTGCAGTTCCCTATAATTTATTAACGTGGTAATTTCTCAATTTTGTACACAAATATTTATTTACTTGGAATTAAAATGATATGATTCAAATTGTGTAATACTGACTGAAAACCCTATGTGTTATTAATTACTAGTCCACATTCAATTTCGAATTTCGATCAAGCAATATCTTACTTCACATTCTCAGACATTATAATGTGTACAATTTTTTTCTCATAATTTTCCAGGGTGACAGTGGGGGACCCCTACAATGCCGGTCTGGAGGGCGCTGGGAGCTCCGGGGACTCACATCCTTCGGTTCAGGATGCGCCAGGAGAGGCGTTCCTGATGTCTACACCAATATAGCACATTACGTCTCTTGGATCTACGCTCATGTCTACGCAACATAGGGCTACATAAATTATGTCAAAATAATACATATGTGACATAGGGTTTGACATTCAGTCTGAAATAATATTATTAGTAGAAGGATTTCCTGCAGCGAGCATTCTCATTAATTAATCTCGACAAAGAACAACATTGTTTTGTGATTGTGTCTTGATATTACGGATATATATTTCTTATTATGAAACATTGTATCCTATTAAACATAAATTAGAATCTTGTGGTGACATTAAGACAGTGACATCTATCCCACCACGCTTACAACTCTACATAAATAATGGCTAAGTTAAAATTTAACTATCCTTGAGATGCATAAGCATGTTATCTGACGGAAGATGTGTCAGTTAGCGTCTCATAGGTCACTGAACAGATAAATATGATTTGACATTTAACCTTGTACACTACACGTGCTTACCCACACTTCCCTGAGATACTTGGCGGTTCCTTCGTCAGATATGTGTTAATCTCTATGGGGCCACGGAGCCTAATACATTTTCTGCGACAAATCAACATGTATATACATTTACATCAACATTTTTTCTTCTTTATCAACCGCCTGATATCAGCATATGAAGTTCGCAATATAATTTTGTAATTTATAATAATTGTGAACATGCAAATTCACAAAATTTTGACGATTCCAATATGGTATTTCGCCAAAACTTTATTACTGAATGGTAGGAATTCCTTAAGGTATTTAATAAAATACCTAATTAACTCTATAAACTATTATACCTCAAATTTACAGTCCATACTTTGCAGTAAACACAGGAAAATCAGTTACTATAAGTGTTTTGCTTATGTAGTTATAATTAATATCATGTAAATGATGTTTAGTTACCAATTACAACTTCCTAATACAGTTTTTATAATTATTATTAATAACTCGGTTTTTTTTAAACTTCCACCACCTATCATGAGTTTTTAAACGAAAATAGGACCTTAAGATAAGTAATATTACTTTGTACAAAACATGAAATTCCCAGTTGATTCGATGATAGTTTATGAGACGATAATGAGTTTTATTTTGAATTGGAAAACAATTTATATTTTAGTTAGAAATTGATTATCTGGTGTCACGGAAGCAGTGGCGTAGCGTGGGTGTCTGCCGCTTACTGCTCTTAAATTTTACTGCCCCTCTTAATTAGGTATTTCATATAATAATACAATAAATTAAATGAAATTTTCGGTAAGAACTGTCATCAATATTTTGCACACCGATCGAGGGTTGTGGTAAATATTGTTCTTAGTCTGTGTGTACTTTGTCCTTCTCAACACAGGACTTGTATCCTAAAATGCGGGCTTGTCTTTTAAAAAACAGAAAAGAATTTGAAATTTTAAACAAATGTGAACAAAACAACTGAAGATCCATGAATAAACCCCCCTCCCTCCACTACGCTACGCCACTACACGGAAGTGGCCGCCAAGACGACCCAAGCATAGTGCAAAGGCGTTACCTGTATTTTCTCGAAGCGCTTCGTCGTTTTTTATACTCCCACTATTTGGATTTGGATTATATCAATAATTTTAATGTAAAAATAGTACAAGCAATAGCTCATAGGGATACTACAAACGCTCAAAATTAAATCAATTTTGATCTCTCCTTTAGTGCATTTAAAGTTTAGAATCCTATAGTATCTTCATGCTGGACCTATTACGGGTAGACAGAGAGAATCGATCGTGACATGTATGTCTTTAGTTTTCTTGACTTTTATTAATCTCACGCGTTTTTATTACTTCAAATCGATATCGCGCGCTCGATTTGATCATAATAGGTGTGATAGGCTTGGCCTTCCGCGACTTCTAAATATTTCTACTTTTGCATTTGTATATTAGTTTCGCCATTTCTTCATCCGGACTGTTAATTAATAAAATATATAAGTTTTGTATTACTTGATGTGCTGTTGATTGTACAATCATTTGTATTCTAAAATAAAGATTACCAATTTGTAAATATTATGACATCTAGTCTTTTTTTTATATTTAAACGAATTAAGTTTGAGAAATATAATTTTAATTGTAAATAAATTATATAAATTATTTTAATATAGTTCACGCCCTGATGTAAATTTCTGTTCATGACCACTCAAAGATCTGTGATTGAATTGTTTTAAATGTATACACGTAAATATAAACTATTTATATTTAAGTAAATTTTAATTGTTGAACGTTCTATTATAAATAAAAATAAGTGTTATTAAAATATTTTTATTAAGTATCAAATTATTTTGTTTTACCTATTGCCCATATTATTGTGGAGACGGAAAGACAGAAGTAACACTATAAGATGTGGAAGTCGCCAAACCTCATTTTTCAATAAAATTGACAATAATAACAATAACTTTATTTCCAATAAAAGTATAATATTCTTTCTCCCATACTAGTTTGAACTGTATTATGAGAGCCAGTGCCTTAAAAAAATAGTTCCAGAAATTAAACTAGATGTAGCTAAAGTACTTTCTTTCTCCATGACAACTGCTCCGGCTTTCTTTCATGTATAAGCGCGCTTGTGCACTACACTGAATTTTCATGTCCGGCGGTCCGATTTTTTCAGGTCCGATATGTCAGACCATATGTAGGTAATGCGCGCTTGTGCACTGTCAGGAATTTTACCGTCCGGAATTTTACTTTTCTCTATTCCGGACCGGTTTTTTCAGGTCCGTGATGGCGGCAATGAAAAACGTGTTTACGCTTGTGCACTGCTGTGTCCGAGATCCGGAAAATTCATAAAGAATAGGCTTGGGAAAATATAATCGATTTGAATCGATATTTATTTTGGCGATATTGTTAATTTCCAATAAACTTATAATCGACATTTATTGTAGATTATAAAATGCTATATTTTATATGATGATTTAATATAGTTGGTGTATATCACTGCATATGCTTTGGCAAACTCAGTATAGTTCTAATTTGATCAGCGTATGGTTCTAGTATCGATACTTAGCTAGATTTTAGAATCGTATTAAAAGTATCGATAGCTTAAGGTAAGATAAATAAGTGTTGTTACGCTTAGACGCCTAAGCAACTGAACCCATCTTAATGGAAATAAATATAGTAAATAGACTTAACTTTAAGAAAGGACATAGGCTACATTTTATCGCGAAAAATAGGGGATGAAAGTTTGCCTGGAAATTTATAATTATCAATTTTTTTTTAGATAATTGATAAGTATAGATTAATATTTGACAACAGAAGTAATAATAAAGAATAAACAGAAGATTAACAGAAGTAATTAAGTGACACTCAATGTCTTTTTCACATTTAATAAAATTTGAAATGAATGTTTGTGTCATTAATTAATTTTAAAAAAAGAAGTATTCTAAGGGAAAAATATTTCTGCTCAAAGAAACTACACCACGCGTATAAATTTATGCATATATATAATACAGTCAACTGATCTCGTAAAGTTCATTTAGCATAATAATTCCGCTTACACGGCACTAAATTTGTTTACAAATGGCGCCACCGATTAGTCTATCTCTGTAATCGCTCAAAGTTGTTTTTACAAAACTTAAAAAAAAATCACATGTTTATAAATTTAAACATCAAGTATCATTATCAGTATTTTTATTTTAATGTAGTTTAACAGATATTTTTAGCTATTGTATGTAAATAATGCTGTCCCTAAATTAGTAAGGGTATAAGTTTTTACATCTGATAGTAGTCATCCGATAGTAATAAAAAAATGCTTTCGTCTTGCCTCAATTTATTATGGTTTATGTAAAATGATCAGGTCGTTATTTAGGTAGCTTTCTACGTCTTAGAACGCAATTACCGACGTTCCAAAAATCTCATCGTACCTAGCGTAAGTGACGTGTAGCTTCAAAGAGAGCTGTCCTACACTGCGCCGCTCCGATCAGGAAAAAAAACGGACAAGTTCACAAGCTACTCATCCGAGTTTTTCATGTCATTCCGGACCGGAAAAAATCGGAACGCCGGACCTGAAAATTCAGTGTAGTGCACAAGCGCCCTAAGAGTAAATTAATTTCCAAAACTCAATAAACGACTCATATTCCATTTGTGCTTTTTCGTATTTGAATTGATATCTAAGTTTCGAACTTTGCATATTTCATTTTTTTAATATGTTACTTAAAAGGAACGGAAATGACTATCTTTGAAAGAAAAATATAATATGATGCAAAATATATGAGGTTCCGGGTTCGATTCCCGGCTGGAGCAATGTAATAAATAAACTTTGCTATATTGTCTTGGACCTGAGTATTGCGGTACCTTCGTTGTGTCTCGTATACTCCATAGTACTCATCTTAGAATCTGAGCAATTTATAGCCGAGTGGTTCGCATGCCGGTTTCAAGGTGTCGCCATCTCTGAGGTCCCGGGTTCGATTCCCGGTCGGGTCAATGTAAAAAATGAACTTTTATATATTGACTCGGGTCTGGGTGTTGTGTTACCTTCATTGTCTCAGATACTCCATAATACGGGGGCTTTAGCTACTCATCTTGGAATCTGAGGAATGTATGTGATCTTGTCTAATATTTATTTATTTATTTATTATTTATTTATTATTTAAATACCTAAAATAAGAGCACTAGCCATCTACAGACCACCTAAATCCTATTAATATTATAAATGTGAAAGTTTCTTTGTTTGGATGTTTAGATGTTTGGATGTTTGGATGTTTGGATGTTTGGATGTTTGGATGTTTGGATGTTTGTACGTCAATCACGCCGTAACTACTTAACGGATTTTGATAAAATTTGGGTGTTAGCTGACTTAGAAAATAGGATACTTTTTATCCCACTAAACATTTCCCTAGGGTCCATGCGGGCGAAGCCGCTGGCGAAAGCTAGTATATAATAAATAGAAATTTCATCTTATACGGAAGAATTTAACAGCTTTATGAAAATAGACGAGCCTAAATGGGGCATCCATATATTGACTAATACATAACTACTTGGCGACTACCGAGCAACGAAATTCAAAAACACATTTTCCGAAGAGGGCAAAGAAAAATGCCATGATACCAATCAAAATGTAATAAGTTTATTAAATATACAAAATCAAAATAGGATTCCAACTTCCGTTTAAAAGCAAATATTTACAAAGGGCTTAAATTTATTTCCTACAGAATCTAATATCACAATCCTTAAAAATTATTTACATACATCTAGATTAGATTAGATTTACAAATAATAAAATTTATCCCCACCACTATTTACATAATCAACAAACACCAACCTTAATATATAAATATTGTAGTACCTATACATTCATAGAATATAAACCCATATCATGTTTTTGTTTCCATTGGTGAAATCTTGGTCAAGGAATCAATTACCTACAACAACAAAAAAGAAACTCTTCTGACAGATAGCTAATTATGTCGCAATAATAGTTTTACCATAAACAAGTTATAAATAAATATTTATTTCTATATAGATCACGATATAGATCTGTATAGATCACAATGAAATTAATAAATAGTTTTTTATCATGTCAAAAACTAAATTCATTGTTATAACGTTACATAAGTTATGGTCAGGACACATAATTATAATTTATAAGTATATTTAAATTAAAATTAATATCCACTGTTTTTCCAATAATTCCATACGTCCGTTCAAATCAAAAGCCAAAATAACTTACAATTAAAAATGGTTCATAAGCTAATTAATAAGCCAGTCATAACAGTGTAAAAATAGGTAGGAAACTAGATATAAAATAAATTAATCTAGATTTAGATTGACAAGAATTTCAAAACTCTAAATTCTCTGAATTTCATATACATCGAGAAATATATTTTTGTTAAGCGACATTATTATGCAACACGAACTGGTTATTAGTGACAACGACCCTCAGTGCCCTTGCCTAAAGGTCTCTAATGTAATGTTTACTTTTTAGACAAGTTGTCAATTGAAATGGCCTTGATATGTGGTCCAGTAGACTTAAACTAGTATGATTTTTACGGTTCAATTTTGTTAATCCCCTTGAAATTGACACACAAATTGGTAACCTTAAAGAAATTCATGCAGCAACACTGAATTAGAAATTTAAATAAACGGTCAAACGTTGAAAAACAAATCTAAATTTTATTGTAGCCAAACGAATCATCTACAAGGAAGACGAAAGAAAAAATAATAATGCATCACAATGTCACAACAAAGTATATAATAAAACCAGTTCTCCACAATCATCTTCAACAACACATCTTTGAAAACTCTGAGAATTACCACAAACTGTTGATGATTACCGATGTCGTATAATTAATGTTGAAATTAACATCACCCCTTTTATATAGGAACAATCAGCAATGTTAATAAATCATTAATTTCAAATAATAATATCAACAGTAATTAGGTCATTAAATAAAACGACATGGAAACCGTCTCATCACCACAGTATAAGGTGCAAATCAAACATACTTAACATAAAACTTCTTATAGTTATCTAAAATACTATGGCAAAATATAGCATTTGAGGATGATTTTTTAATTATAAATAAACAACTCTCTAAAACGGTTTGAGAGTAATGGCATAAATTAAAGCACCAATTACCATTTTGCTAAGGTCATGTAACTTCCGATAGTTAAGATTTTCCCAAAATCAGTTACTTATCGAGTAATTCTTTCACGTATCTATATAAATGCTATTCATATCATCTTCTTTAATCGTTAATAGAGATACTGCTTCTTTGGTTGAACGTTCGTCTTCGGAGAAGGCGATGTTTTCTGAAATAACATTTCTATCACCGACGGTGATTTTTTTATCATCAACGATATCAACGACTTCGTATGTAGGCCGTATGAATCGATAGAATCCACTCGTGCCAATGATGAAACCGATGACGAAGAGTAGGACTTCAATTGCGATGATAAGAGGTGGGGAGATGACTAGCCGCAGACGAAGTAAACTTAAGATTTCCGGAGGAGGCTCTTTGCAATACTGTAAATAAGCAATAATATATAAATTTATTAAACTTGGTAGTAGCTTACTTGGGAATAAAAAAGAACACAATTTTTATTTCAATAAGAATTATCTGTTTCATGCTAAGTTTCTTGATGAATAATTTTAGAAATTAAATTAAAAAAAGTAACTCACGAGTGAAAGCCAAAGCATTGGCACTATCTTGTCTTTCAAAGGTTTCGTAATGGGATTCCCTGGTGACATTCTCACAGCCAAATTAACTTGGACCTTAGAAGATAACGCCAAAGGTACACCCATAGTCTATAACAAAATAAATGTTGAAGTCACATAATATGAAGTAAGTCGTTCAAGCACTTATGAGGATTAGTGATATTTACATTATTAATATGGTATAACATCACTCGAGTATGGCAGTCGTTAAAACAAGTATTTGCCAGATTAACAATATATATGGTACTATATTCTATCCCTTAGGTCAATAAAATTTCCCATTCTACTTTGAATCCATCACTTTATGTCATAGTCCATAGACCTTTGGTTCTCTACTCTACTCTATTCACTGCAGGATAAAAGTAACAATAAGGTTATATTAGTATTTTGCGAGTCTTGCATGTTCCTTTATAATCCCGACTAGAATATATTCTATCACTTCATCCGGAAGACTTCTTTTTATTTAATATAATGCGTAAAAATATGATTCTTACAGGTTCAATGTCAAGAATAGAGGAATGCTTCTCCGGGTCTGGATGCATTCCTTCATAGTAGCTTCTTTGTTGAGGGTCGGCGTCCATAAAGTGAGGCTTTGACAACGTGATTGGAAAACCTATAAAGCAAGATTTAGTGTTGAAATTGTGTATTAACTACACAATTATAATATTAACAATTCAGTTGAATTACGTCTTACACCTACCCTACAAATAATAAAATTATAATAAAATTGAATAGAGCATGTTTTAAATAATTTTGAATGGCAAAATTCATTAGAATAATTGTTCTGAAAAACAACAAAGAATTGTTACAACCATTTTGGTTTAAAATAAAGGGGTAAGAATTAAATCTTGATGACTGAATAAAATTGTAAGGATTAAAAGTAATATAAATTTCTTCCCTATCATTATTATACAGGATGTTTGGTAATACATGTATAATCCCGAAACATGGCCATACAACCTAGCACAAAGAACACAATTAATATGTCAAAAAACAATTTCACGTAAATTGAGATTTTCATACAAATATTTGAACAATTTGTTTTAAATTAATATGCTACAACCCTGAAAGCTTATACGTGCCGTCCCGGCGTACTCGCTCTCTCTCTCTCATTACCTCTCACTTTCTCTCGTTTCCTAGAACAACAGCTGTTTTTAGGGTTGTCAGCGTACAGTTTTACTTCGAAGAAAAAAGCTAAATATCTAGGTCATGTGCAGGGTTTCAGACTTAGTGATCATTATTCTGGGTTCTATTCATCATACCGTATGTGCCATATTCGGGATTATACAGGTATTACCAAACACGCTGTAGACATCTAAATTATAATTAAACTTCAAAATATTTAAAAAAATCTTTCAAAAATTAACATTTCAAAGCTAGTTTCACCTAACATCTTACCGTAATAGCAGTTAGAAATATCAACAAAACCGTCGGGCAAACAGTTGTTATTACATTTGCAGGCATACGGGGAGGTACTGTTGAACGCCGATGACTCCATAAGATATCTATAAAATTAAGAGAAAACCAATATTAAATACTCATTGAGTTGATTAAAAAAGGAAAAATTAAAAAGGTAAATAATTCATAACATACTCTTAATAAAAATGCTTAAAAAAACCACTTTGCCTCTGGCACTCTGATTTTAATTATGAATATAATTTTCAGAATAGCATTGTGAATGCAAAATTGATCAAATATAATAATACATTACATAACTTCTAATAAAAATAAATGAATAGAACATTCTATATTAATTTTAGAGAAAAAAATATTTATGAGTCCTAAAATGAGAACATAAATATTAATAATATTTACTCAACTCTAAATATAAAACAAAAAATCTATTAGATTTTATTGGCTAAAAATCTAAAGTATTCAAATTAAAAGAAAATTCTCTTACCTATAATATTCAAAACCATATCTGTCATTAACGGTTTCTTCGTAAGTGAAGGGGACGATTCTGCAGGCTTGTCTTCTGAATATTGGAATGGTGTTGTTTTTATTTATATGACTCTTCAACATAATACCTTCGTAGGTACCGCGAGCCAGGTTGCAAGGAATACTATAAAAGATAAAATAGAAAATCAATACCAATGATGATTCTTCTAATTCTGACAAGGAAGTAAAAAATGCGTGAATATATCTAAACAATATCTCGGTGGGTAATTTAATGTGATAGGTTGGGAAAAAGTTTTTTCCCATTTCATATGAAAATTGAAAACATTTTTAATAAAGTATATTTACATTCCACTGAAGTATGCAGATACCATTTTGTAGTCAAAGTCAAAGTCAAAATAATCTTTATTCAAATAGACTTCTTAAAAGTACTTTTGAATCGTCCAACATTTTTTCCCTACCACTCGTTCAGGTGTAAGACATTTTTTTGGCATCTTAAGAGTAGAGACATAATCTCATTGCTATATACATTTTGGGGCTTCTGATCACAAAACCGCGACAAGTGGTTTTCGTAGACCTCGCGTTATATTAACCTGACACTGCCTATAGAATTCTGAAGGGACCGAAACAGGTGGAAATCTGAAGGTCAGGACTAAACAGCGGATGCATTAAGACCTTTCAGCCGAACTTTGGATGTGATGTGTGAAGTCTAGTGTTATTATGATAAAAAACCACACTAAATTCTGGTCGCTTTCTCTCAACTTCTTGTTTTAATCTCATCAGTTGTTCGCAGTAGAGTTCAGAATCGATGATCCTGCCGGGCGAATTTCAATATGAAATTTCCGGACTGATATAACACTTCAACCGAGTTTGTGCTACTCACATAGAAACTGCACTAGGTTCATAAACGTCACAATTTTTTTTTGCGGCTGGCGTTACATTTTTACCTTTTTTGTTTTAAAATAGATTCACTCATTTTGACAGTAAAAAAAAGAAACCAAAAAATAATCACTTATTTTCCTAATTACAATTCAGAGTTATCTTCTTTAAAATTTAAACCAGCCAGATACAAATGGTATGCATACTATATGCGAAACGACTTTTTCCCCAAGCGAAATAATAAGGCCAAAGAAACGTTCTGTAAATATTTACTTTTTGATGATTAATGTTTTCTTTTATTATAAGAAATAACAATAATACACGACACATCGATCGATTGGTTGTCATTGTCATATCGTTTCAGAAGATTGACAGAATATTAAATAGATATTTTTAATATAACACTCAATCCAACCGATGTGTTATTGGTGGCAACTTAATTTGACATCGTCTTCCTTATCAATATAAATATTTCATAATGATAACGGAGACGCAAGTTAGTAGCTGGCTATCAATACGTCTGCTTCTGCTAAAAGAATTTCATGTTTCAAAAGCTGCTCTCACCTAGTGTCAAGATCCTTGAAGCCTTGCTCGACAATCCCCGCGGCACCATTCCAATTAATTATGGAAAATTTGGTTTCTTCGTCTGCGATTTCCACCTCAACGGGTTCTTCTTTTTGGGCATAAAACTGTGTATTAAACATATTTATGTTCATTAAATGAAATACATTCGAAATTACATGATTTGTTTAAATTCAGCATATGCCAATGAGAAACTTATCATTAGCCTTTTATGGAATCAAATAGGGCTTATCGGCAATAATCCACCACGTTTTCCGAGTGTGCATTTGGTGTAAACGGCTGCATATGCTGCATAGCTGGGGTGAGCAGCTGAACGTGCCTTTCAAAATATAAAGAAGCTCCAGAAAATAATTTTCTTTGCCTTTGCGAAAGAAACACCGCATCCCAAACGAAACCTAACAATTACGCTAACAAGTAACAATTACGCTAACGAATGCATAAGATTATCGCTTATGAATAAGAAAGTCATGCTGCAGCAATGTATATAAACTCATATTTTACTAACCCTGTCCAAAATGCCAATCTTCGAAAAATCTATCCACCCAGGCAGAAGGCTACTGGCGACAGTGACAATTGGGTCCTCGTAGCCCCACAGCAACTCCTCAACGGTCAAGTTCCTGAACAGCTTTGAGCCAAGCCCACTTATTGAGTAGTATGCGCCAACATTCGCGAAATAACCCAGCTTATCGGCCAATAGAGTGCTGATAGACTGAAAATTAAAACGTAATTACAATAAAGAAAAGGAAAATATTGAGCCCCTGATTTTGTAAAATGCAACACGGTTAGATTAAGAAAAGGATCAATTTTAAGATAACGCCGGACATGGAAGTTCGATAGGATATAAATGTAGCTGTAATTTTAGAGTCTTCAGAATATAGAACTTCTGAAACAGTTTTTATAGAAAACGAGATTTGCTTAGTCATCTTTAGATTTATAAGAAAAACTTTTAACATCGTTATGAATGCCAAATTTACAAATAAATAAGTTAAAATTTAAATCTACTTGAAATTCCTAAATAACCTAATAGAGATTGTTTTAGTGGTAAGGTCATTATCATAAATGTTAGTATTTATTATATTTCCAGAGTAAATAAAATTCTAGCCTAATATTCCCACTACAGTAAAATTGATCAAGACCACCACGTAAAAAGTCAAGGCAACAAATTATGATGCAACCTCAATGCACCTACATTTTAAATTCCCGAAAGTTCCTTTAGAAAATGCAGTTAACCTCGCTTAAACAATTATGAAACCAAATAAATAAGAACCGTATAATAATATTCGTATCTAGTCTGTTATTTACGACAAACTATAAAATAGAGTACACTAAAAGCCCGTCCTTGTAAAGCAAAAGGTATCATACTGTCAATAGTATATTTGCGATAATGACTGCCTAATTGGTGGAAATAATGATATACAGTTAGCTTAAAATTACTGCAAAAAAGTTAATAACCCTTTTGAAAGGAATAGCTGTATTTTTTATTTAGGTACAAACAGATACATTTAAACGATTTCATGGTGTTTGATCATTAATCATAGACTCAAGTGTTGACACCATTTTGAACAATCAAATTTCACACTGTAAGAGGCGGTCTAGTAAATAAAGAATTTTTCATTGCTATGTATTATACCATAATAACATTCATTACTAATTTATACATTTTTCTCATGATGGTACCACGCATATAGTAATATACAATACTGACAGATAATGTCACAGTCCTATTAGTTCATATGTGACTTCTGAAAGACATACTGATTGACTAATATGGTTGGCACCTTATGTGAAATAAGAATTATTTATTCCTGTAGGATCTAACGAGATAATATGTGTAAAGTCAGCTAAAATTACTTATATATGCAAATATCTTCACGACAACCCCGCTTCTGATCCATTTTGATAGAAATAACTTACTGCTTACTACTATGTATACCGCTTTCACTACTGGCGCTATAAATATTTGATATAAATAGGGACCTGAGAAAGGAAAAAGGCTACAAAAGATGACTGCGTGATTTCTAGTCTAAAATCCTCAATCAGTTCTTATTCATAAGAGTTTCTTACCAATAAGGCGATATTTGGTACGTAGATGTTTACATCATGAGTGTCGGCTATGGACTGGTTCCTGACGAACTGCAATTTAATATTCGGTATCATGGTCATCACGCCCCGCTCTTTATCTACCGTGATGTTGGAATTGGTTCGGAATTCCCTATGAAAAGAAATTATATTATTATCAACATGTATAAGCTGAGCTTTTGAGTTCTTACCTTCAACAAAGTTTGTTTGTTACATGTTCTAAAGCCACAGAGTTCATCGAAATTGGTTAAAGAGTACTTGAAAATATACATCTGGCATTTGTGACTGTCATTGTTGTCATTAGCGTTATTACCTAATGTCCCCACGCAAGGAGCATATTTTGTCCCTTTGATAAATCAAGTAGGGAAAATTAGCCATAACTGATTACGTGGACTCTGTGCAAATTGGTGAATGTTAACAACATGCAGCAGCTGACACCAACGGATTAACGTGCTTTTCGGAGCACGAGGAAGCTCGTAATACATTTTTAGTCAACCATCCTATGATCAAGCTCTGCAGAAGATGCCTAACCACATCATAGAATAAACGTACTAATCCCTATGCTATCACGCTCGGTTTGATACATTATTGTAGTAATATAAGCAAAGTATGTGAGGTGTTTCATTATATATATATACGCTGTTCCTTGAAAGATCCTGAACGCCATTAAGCACGGTCGTTACACACGTCATTTGCTTTCTTGATATTCTTGAAGCATAAATCTTTTCATATTCGCTTGCCAGTTTTTATGACATCTGACATCACCTCCAAACTACACGCAATTAATTCGTGTAGTTTGGAGGTGAGAGGTGCGTCTTGGCCTCCCCTGGCTTCCACCTATTCTATTTTTACTATTATAGTCTCTAATATGTATGTTCTTCCCTAATCATGAATTTCAGTAATAGAAGAAAGTCTGCAGATTTCTCTTTCTTCTGTTGTAAGAGACTTCATTTATTTAGTTAACGTATAATACAGCAAAAATCTCTCGATACATTAATTGTGACCTTTAAACCTATTGTTTTAAGTTAAAACCTATTATTGTAAGTCTCGAGTAGATAAATCAAAGAATAATATGTCTGAAATTTAATTCACAAAGTTAAACTTACTGGTACAGAAATGGTCCTACTTCGTTCACTCTTAGAACCTGGTCATTCCCATCAAGGTATTCTGGTACATTAGTGTAATTATACACCCACACTTCTGCGTACAGCTGGTACGGTAACTTCTCCCAGGTTTTGTAAACAAATGAGTTTTCTTTCACGTCGAACATCTGCAAACAAAACACAAAAAAATCATACAACTATTGGAGCACAAGCATTCCCTGACATCACATAAGAGAAAAGGTCCATAGCTCAACCTAGCTGGCCTATTAATAAGTGATGGGTGTTTAACGACTGCAAATACTACCAGGCAAATGTATCCTTTGAAGCACGGATAAATATGTTTTGAAATAATCAATTATTAAACCTCCTTCCAATGGCCGATCAAGTATTTGAATTTCGAAATGACAGACCGAATGCGCCATTATAGTTAGCTACAATACATTTATAAATTGCTTTAAATTGCATATCGTCGTATCGTCTATAGCAAAGGTGGCAATTGAATTAGTTTCATTTATTGCCTGAACCGTGGGTTAAGTAAGTGAGCGCTATGCACATGTATAGCTCAAGTATTGAAAGTATAACACTAGGTTTTGAATATTTTTACGATAACGTTAGCTGTGACTAAATCACAAAGTAATTACTTAAATGTGATTACTTAATTACACACATATTTAATCTATATATACTAATATTAGATTTGAAAGGTCATTTAGTTTGAAGCAAAGATTGATTGAGTATTTATTTGCATTGAATAAGCTCCGAAACTACGGAACCAATTTCAAATATTCTTTCACCTACGGAAGCTGCATCTAATGAGGGTGACGTATCTTATAATTTAAAAGAGCAAAGTCTATATAGCGCATAATTTGATTAATGTAATATAATTATCTAAACCAGTTTTTATCTATTTGATATTGAAAACACGACTGTAGGTTTTTTGCATAATTAATTTAATAGACATCAGGTTAATTCATATGCAACCATTAATAATGTCACATCAAGTTCAAGTACAAGTTATAGCAAGGCTTCTGTCGTGGTGACGATATTTTTTAAGGCGAATTTCGGGGTCAATGTAGAAAATGTAATTTTCTATATTGTCTCGATTTAAGCTTTGATCCGCATATATGATATTATCTTGTTTTTTGTTATTAAAATAGAATAAGTAGTTGAAATAAACGTTATTGTACACTTAAAACCTAAGATCTTAGATCAAAAATACTTTTTTCAGGAATAGTCTGAGTAGTATATTTGCGGGAAATTTTATAATGTGCGAGCATATGTATAATATCTAGCTCTATCCGGATAAGTGATTAATTTCTATCTCAACTTAATTACTTATCACATTGCACAGTCATTATTATATTGCTACATGACAAATCGGCAATATTATAAATAAAGTTAAATCTGACAAGTTTCGTCAATGTATCAGTTCCCTTTTTATACATTGAAATGAAATGAAATGCAAATATCTTTATTCAAGTAAGCTTGTTACAAGCACTTTTGAATCGTCCAAAATAATTTTTCCCCCTTCCACTTGTTCAGGACGTATTTTAGCTAACAAGAAAAACAAGCGAAAGAAACTTACCAGCTCTTAATCATAAGTAAAGACATTTACATAAATCACGTCATTACCAAAATAATATGTATTATCACAATAATAAATACAACTTCCAAAGTCTGTAGGACATAAGTTGTACATATAATTTGTCGTTATAGAACAAAGCAAAGGCTATTGATTCCATGCATTGCGATCCTTAAAATAATCATTAACTTTATAATAGCCTTTACTCATAAGTGTTCTTTACATGAGTTTTAAATTTATTTATGGATAAGTCAATTACATTTTGTGGAACTTTATTGAACATAGCAATGCATTAATTAGCAA